GGAAGGCGGGCCGGGACCGCGGGGAAGGCGGGCCGGGAGCCGGCGGGGAGAAGGTGGGTCAGGGTGATCCCGGCGCGGAAAGGATGGGTCAGGGGGACTCCGGCGAGGAGAAGTTGGGCCTGGCGAACCCACCAGGGGAGATGGCTAGGGTACCCCGCCAGGAGAAGGTGGGTCAAGGGGACCCGGGCCGGGAGAAAGGTGGGTGGGTCAAGGGACCTGCTGGAAGAAGGTGGGTCAGGGGGACCCCTGGGAGGGCAGGTGGGCTGGGAGAGCCCATTAGGAGAGGTTACTTGGAGATCCCAGCAGGAAAAAGTGGTCAGGGGGTTATTCAGAGGAGGTGGGCTGAAGGTACAGGGGAAAGGCAGACCCGGGAGACCCCTTAAGCTGTCCTTTCTTGTTCAGAAAGCCTGAAAACAACTCCTTGGCTCCAACTTTTTTTGACCCATCTGCCAAACTGGGGGCTGCCAGAGGTTCCTGATGTTCTTCCCCACCACCCACACCCCGCCTGCTCTCCCTGACAGTGTTTCTGGCCTGAACACAGCTTCCCTTTACCTTAATTTTTAACCTGAGAACTCTGATACTTAGACCCCAGAAAAAGGACAGAGTCAGGGGAGGCCAAGAGCATTCCAGCACTGGTTAGCTCTGTAAAAAGAGCCATCAGAAAGCCTGGTCAGAACCCCTAGGCCTCCATGACCTAAAGGGCAGGTAGGCAGTAAGCCTGAGCCTCCCACTGTGTCCTCAGTGGTAGCTGGAGGATGGGGTAGGCTCAGCTTCAGCAGTGTTAATGTGGGCCTGCAACCTTTGCCCTGAAGGGGTTCCCCCACCTCACCTGAGTCATCAGGGTCTCTGGAAGTCAGGAAGCTCTAAGGGATCCTTTCTCTGGGCATTCTGTAGCAGGCTCCCAATCCCCCCTCCAATGATTGCATCCTCCGGGCATCTCTGCTTTTGTGGATGTTGAGCAGAGTGGGCTCCTATTGCAGTCAGGGCCTGCATGCACCCGCACTGTCTCCGCCATCCTCCCTCAGCAAAGTCTGCATGGTGCTGGGGGTTTCAGCAACACAAGCACAGAAGTCCAGCCTTCCGCCCCACAGCATCCTTTAGTGCTAGGTGTCAGAGGCTTCTTGCCCCACTTGTGGGCTGCTCAGTCGAGGCAGAAACTGGTGGCTCAACAGGTGGCTGCTCAGCTCAGACTGGACAGTCTTAACCAGAGAGACCTGCATGCTGAAGGTGAGAGACGGATAAGGAAGCTGGTGGGGAGGGAATAGGAGGATATACTCCCCCATTGTCCTGCAAGTCCATCTTCAAGGCCTGAGTCAACACCTACATCAGTATGGACGTGCTCAGACCAGCACCATCCACATCCTGCCACTGTCGGCTATCTTCCAGAAATATTGGGAGGCCCTTGTGATACGGGGATGCCACCCTGTCAGTGGGCAACCCCACCCTCAGAAAGTGTGGCATACTGGAGGGTTTGGTACACACTCAGCAACACACTGACACCTGAGGTGTAATTGCTGCCAGATCAGAGACTGGTAGAGATGAAGATACTTTAAGTAATGTTAGTGCCATTTTCCAGAAAGGAAAACTAAGGCATGGGCAATAGGAGCCCACTCTGCTTACATGCCTGCAGCGGCAGCCAGCTGGCCACTGGGAGTGAGGAGCCAGCCAGGACTTCTCACACCTGAGTCTGTCCTGCTGCCCCTCAGCCACCTGCCAAGGCCTGAGAACGCAGTGGAGTCCTGGGAGTCAGTCCTCCGCCTGTACCACTTACTGCTGACCACAGGGGTGCCCCTGGTCGCCCTGCCTCACCTTGTCCATTTCCTGCCCCCTAGCCTCTCCAGTCTTTAGCCTGTCTACCATATCTGGAGTGTCTGATGTGGTCTTTCCTGTCACTCCCAAGGCTGCCTGCTCACTAGAGCCCGAGCTCCTTCTGTGACTGTCCTGTCATCTCTGTCCCTTCTTCCCATTCATGTACTTAACCATGTATTGAGCACCTGCTGTGTGCCCAGCAATGTGGTAGACAGTCCCAAGTCTGGGACTCGAGTTGCTATAAAGGAGACAGTGGCACTACTACTCATGTCACGGTGCCCTGGGAAATGGGTGGTGAAACAGCAAAGGCAGAGAGCTCTGGAGGTGACCCAGACCAGAGGCCTGGACCCTAGAGCAGGTGCCTAGAAAAGAGTTGAAGGGGAGTGCAGGGAATTCACTCAGAAGGACCCAAAAGGAGGGGTGTGATCTTGGGGGTCGAGGTATCCTCTTCAACCACATGTGTACCTGGCACCTATTTTCCAACATGCCCCATCTCCAGGCCCTGTGCAGGCACCAAGACCTCCTCACCACCAGAGGCCCATGCCACCAGCATCCAAATAACCCAACCAGCCAGCACCTCCACAACTGTCTCAATCTCCCAAACTGAAACTGACCCCAAGAAACACTGACTACCCCAGACCCCACACACAGCACTCCACAGTCTGGCTCTGAGTCAGACTAGTCTGGGCACCTCTCAAAAGTGGAATATATGGCATCTGTCCCTTTGTGACTCACTTATTTCATTGAACAGAGTCTTTACCATGCTGTTGCAGGTGCCAGAGTGTCCTTCCTTTTTAATGCTGAATAATGTTCCACTGTGCGTGTAGGCCATGTTTGGTTTCTCCATTCCTTGTTGATGGACACTTGGGTTGTTTCTCTTTTGGCTGTCATGACTTATTCTGCTATAAACATGGGTATGCAAATGTCGGTTCAAATTTCTGCTTTCACTTCTTCTGTGTAAAGACCCAGAAGTGGAATTGCTGGATCATATGGTGGTTCTATTTTTAAACTTTTGAAGAAGTGCATGGAGCTGTACCCACAGACAGTGCATGGGGTGCTGATTTCTTCACATTCTCATCAATACTTGTGATTTCTTGGGTTTTGTCTGAGTTTGGCTTCAGGGTAATGACCTCATAGAAAGCATTAGGAAGTGTTCCCTCCTCTCCAATTTTTGGAAAGAGTTTGAGAAGTACTACTGTTCTTTTTTCTTTAAATGTTGATAGAACTCACCAGTAAAGCCCTCTGGTCCTGGTTTTTCTGTCTTGGAAGATTTTTGATTATTGATTCAGTCTCGTAGCTGGTTATAGGCCTGTTGAAATTCTGTTTCTTCATGACTCAGTCTTGGGAGTTACATCTCTAGGAATTTGTTCATCTTACCTGTGATCCACTTTGTTGGCAGGGGAGCTATAGTGGTGAGCTAGGTAAACATCCTTGTACCCCAGAGCATAGGTGGCAGTGTGGGAGGCACCTACTGTCTGGGTGGAGATGGCAGATAGGAAAGGACGAATCCAGGATGTCCTTTTGTAACAGGTGGATTCTTCTCAGGTGGGCAGAGTTCCAAAAGCAGCCCTCTGAGGGTCCTAGACCAAGCTGATCTCCTAGAACCCATGGAAATGAACATTGGTTGTGAGAACTTGGAAGCCAACTAGGTTTTGCTGCTGGTGAGCATATAATTTACCATCCAAAGGGTGATGTTAATATAGCACCACAGTAGGGACAGAGGGAAGCAGGTAGGTCTCCCTTTAGCTCACATGTTCAGTCAGGACTATGAGTTGGACATGCATAATGCCGGGTGTGGGCCTTCTGGAGGGGGTCAGAGTGGGTCTGCCACTCTGAGTTTTCCTTTGTAGGATATGTTCTCTTTTTCTTTTCTTTTGTAAAGATTTTTATTTATTTATTTATCTATATGAGAACTAGGCCAGAGGTGTGGAGAGGTGGGAGGATTCACCAGAGACAGAGTGGGGAGCAAAACAGGGACATCTATTGAAACACACTGCTGAGCAGAGCAACTGGTAGCTCAGTAGAGGTCTGCTGCGCCATGTGGGTCACCTCCCTGGGCAGGGACTGAATTCACATCGTAGGGGCTGTTGATAACTTGATAGTACTGAGACTTTAATCCCTGCACCACCAGGGAGGCCCCTGCAACTACATTTTCACATGGATCTGTTTTTCTTGTGTCCTCTTTCCTGCGATGTCCTCTCCCCTTTTAGAGAGGGACCACAGTAGAGGGTGCAGGTCTCCGCTCCCTCAGGGCTGTCTCCACAGCAGTTGGGTACAGCACCTGTCCCAGTGGGCCCTCTGCAGATTGAAACAGGTAGACATCCAGGAATCTCTCTCTGCAGGGAGGCCAAAGTTTCTCCCATTGCATAGGCTTGGGAGAGCTTGTAGAGGGTTTGAAGTAGCCGGTGAGGATAAGACCTTCACGTTGAAACCTAGTCTTTGCCTGCAGGTCTCTACTTTAGGTATCAAGAAACAAGCCAGTGCTAAGTCATCTCCAGCCAAGGTCTGGAAGTGAAACACAGATTCTATAAATCTGCTGGGGCTGCTGTCACCAGGTACCACAGTCTGGAGTGTCAGGACCATAGAAATAAGTCATCTCAGGGTTTTGGGCCACAAGTCCAAGATCAGGAATCTACTCCCTCAAAGGGGCTTGCATCACCCCATCTTACCTGAAATGTTCGTGCCTGACACGAACACCCATCCCTTCCATGGGGGAAGGAAGCAGCCTTTTACTGCTGTGCCTGATACAGACACTCTGCAATACACTGTGGACATGGAAGAAGCTGTGTCCAGCCACAGTCCAAGCACTATGGTGTAGCCACCCCTGAGTCGTGGGGCCATGGTAGAATCAGGACTGGCAGGGAAAGACAGCCATCAGATTACTTGTTACATGGGGAAA